CGGTGAAGGTGGCCGGGGTACGGGCCGGGCAGGGGAGCTGGTGGACGGGAGTGACGGGAGGGTAGCGGGGCGAGCGCTGCCGGTGCGGTACATGCCCCCCAGAGTCGATGCAGAGAGGCCCGGTGCTCGGAGAAGAGCGACGTGTGGGCCTACGGGGTCACGTGCTGGGAGATCTTGACCTCGGGCATGACCCCCTACTACCCCATGACGGACCCGACTGTGATCGGGTACGTGTGCGGGGGTGGGAGGCTTCCTCGAGAGCACCTCCTCGGAAGATGCCCGGACGGGTTGTGGGCCCTGCTGGAGAGCTGCTGGGCGACGAGGGAGGAGGACCGCCCGAGGTTCGCCGAGCTTGCGGTAGCTGTAGGAAGAGCCGGAGCGGAGGGGGGTGAGGGGGCTACTGCATGGACATGGTCAGACAGGACGCCTGGACAGCAGCGGGCAGAGGCCGGCAACCAGTCGCTATGCCGAGGCATACGCAGCATGGCAGAAGCTGCATGGAGAAGGATCGGAGAGGCAGCGGGGGGAGGGATCGAGGCGGTGGCGAGGAGAGTCAGGAAGCGCAAGTACGCAGAGCTCGTGGAGCTGCAAGAGTCAGCTTGCACCGCCTTGGAGTCCACGGGCAGCGACGCTCTCAGCTCGCTGAGGACGGGAGCTCAGGCACTGCCAGTCGGGGCGTCGGCAGCGGTAGGGGCACAAGACGGAAGCGGGACGGAGCAGCCGGCAAGGGAGGCATGGAGGCTGCTGAGGACGGGAGCTGACGACAGCATAGAGGTGGTGATGCAGGAGATGAGGACGTACGAGGCTCTCGCGGAGGTACAGCAGGCTGCGTGCGAAGCCTTGGTCAGCATGGCTCAGAACGGGGAGGCTGACAAGCTCAAGGCGCGAGAGGCGGGAGCGATCGAGGCCGTCGTCAGCGCCATGACCACGCATGCAGACGACGCGGGGGTACAGCAGGCTGCGTGCTGGGCCCTGACACATACTGTCAGTCGCATCCAAGAGAGCCAGTCGCGGGCTCGAGAGGCGGGAGCGATCGAGGCCGTCGTCAGCGCCATGACCACGCACGCAGACGACGTGGGGGTACAGCAGGCTGCGTGCGAGGCTCTGAAGAACACTGTCAGCTTCAGGGACGAGAGCCAGGCGCGGGCGCGGGAGGCGGGAGCGATCGAGGCCGTCGTCAGCGCCATGACCACGCACGCGAACGACGCGGGGGTACAGCAGGCTGCGTGCTGGGCCCTGGACTACACTGTCAGCTTCAGCGATGAGAGCCAGGTGCGAGCACGAGAGGCGGGAGCGATCGAGGCCGTCGTCAGCGCCATGTCAAGTTACGCGAACGACTGGCAAGTACAGCAGGCTGCGTGTGAGGCCCTGAAGTACACAATGCAGTACTTCCGATACCAGGGCACAGCGAGAGATGCGAAAGCGATCGAGGCCGTCGTCAGCGCCATGACCAGGCACCAGAGCAACGCGAAGATACAGCAAGGTCTATGCGAGGTGCTGACAGCGATAGCCGAGAGCCACGAGCAGAACAAGCTCCCGGCCATGCAGGCGGGAGCGATCGAGGCCGTCGTCAGCGCCATGTCCACGCACGCGGAAGACGCTGGGGTACAAGGATCTTCCTGCGAAGCACTTGTAAGCATGACGGAGGGCATGGCAGACAGCCAGGCGCGGGCGCGGGAGGCGGGAGCGATCGAGGCGGTAGTGAGGGCGATGTCCAGGCACACGGACGACAGGTGGGTACAGAAGACTGCGTGCAGGGCCGTGACAAACACAGTGAGTCACATCAAAGAGAGCCAGGCGCGAGCACGAGAGGCGGGAGCGATCGAGGCCGTCGTCAGCGCCATGTCCAGACACCCGGACGAGAGTTACATGCAATGGTCAGCATGCAAAGCACTTCAAAGCATGACGGAGGGCATGGCAGACAGCCAGGCGCGGGCGCGGGAGGCGGGAGCGATCGAGGCCGTCGTCAGCGCCATGTCCACGCACGCAGGCGACCGATGGATACAGCGTGACGGATGCAAGGCCTTGCGCAGCATGACGGAGGGCATGGCTGACAGCCAGGCGCGGGCGCGGGAGGCGGGAGCGATCGAGGCCGTCGTCAGCGCCATGTCCACGCACGCAGGCGACCGATGGATACAGCGTGACGGATGCAAAGGCCTTGCGCAGCATGACGGCGGGCATGGCAGACAGCCAGGCGCGAGCGCGGGAGGCAGGAGCGATCGAGGCCGTCGTCAGCGCCATGTCCACGCACGCAGGCGACCGATGGATACAGCGTGACGGATGCAAGGCCTTGCGCAGCATGACGGAGGG